TAGCAGCTTCTAACAGAAACCACCCCTGTAGCTCCCCCCCCGCCGACTACCAAAACCCAGCCACAGAAACCCACTACAACAGGACAAGGGCCTGTGGCTCACAATAATCCATTTTGGTAACAACCTTACTTTAAAATCATTTTCCTGTTTTGCCTTGTTTCCTTGAAGCCTGCAAAGTATCAGGAAACTTCTTAAAATATTGGAAATTGTGGTCTGAGGAGGACAAGGTTGCCACAGCAACTGTCCAGTATTTCTGAAATTTCTTGCTTCATCTTTCAAAGCCATCGTGAATGCCACAAACTGCTGAGGCATTTGCTGCAAACAAAGCAAGGCTATAGAAAGAGAGAACAGAAAAGAGCACCAAGGAGTCAGTTGTTGTAAAGGTGAGATGTGTCAGGCTCAGGGAAAAAGTGTTAAATCCCCTCAGCATCTGGAATGCCATGCAAGCGTATGGAGTGTTTCAACACTTGACAGTATCTGACATGACAGTGGATAATGTCACTTGGCTTGTGATGCAACTCCGTGATCCACTCAGGATGGTGACATTTATTCCATCCGGAAAGGAAATATTTTCAGAAATAAGAAGCCAAAGTTAGCCGCCTCCCTTTTGGTATGATAAATAACTGCTTTCTGGGACAGAAGATGCCTGGCAAAGATTGTAACTTATCAGCCAGAAGTGATGAGTTTTTTAATGGGTGTGGGACTGGCCTCAGTATGGACTGGTGAACACAGGGTTGTATTGGGGGTCAGGAGGTTTAACACATCCATTCCCCTTTTAGCTTTGTTTTTCTTATCTGATAAACAAAATTAATGTTGTTATATCATCAGTGCATATAATGTTTGGGTCATCTGTTTAGAAAGGCAGACAATCAGTACCATATGGTTCCATTGTACTGCGGTTAATACAGGGGAAAATACACCTGTGAGCTATCTGAGGACTTTTTTTTAAAGCAGCAGAACTTAAAAGAATTGCAGTCTATTAGATGTGTTGGTTCTGTATGCAGTATCTTCTTTTCTGAGATGGGTGGTGCCTGTGTGTGAAAAGCTGTATGAAAGAGCCAGATGTGATTACCTATCGAACTTTGCTTGGGAAGGGGCCCAAGAGAGCAGTTCATGTTTCCAGCGGTGTGGTATGCACATTTGCACTGGTTGAAATGGAGTGCTCAGTGGCCTGAAGCCATGCTGGCACTTCAAACACATACTCTAGCACTTTTCAAAACGTTACAACATTTAGGAGAATTGGTTCTGCTCTGGGACTTCTGAATTTCCATATTGAATGTCTGTGTACATGTGGGAGATTTTACCTCCACATGATCTCATGTATTCTATGCACACATTTTGCACAGTTGCAAATATAAAACATAGATGGTAATTGTTGTATTATTGGTTTTGTTGCAATGCTGGTGTTATTTGTATGACGTTTTAAGGGGTTCAGTCCAGCCCTCTTTTTCCTCCTGTGTAAGATTGATATGCTCTTATTGCACAGCTGTTTGGTTGCAGAAATGTGTCTTTGTTAAAAGCAGTCAGGATGGGATGGGATTCAGTTGGTCTGCTTGGGTAGGAAACTTAAGGTAGTTTTAGCAGCAGCTCTGATTCATTTAAACACTGTCCCAAGCCTCATATGCTTTTAGTGTTATAAAAGCCAATCAGGTTATTGTTTTAAGGTATAAGATGCCCCAAAGGGCTTTGCTCACTCAACTGTACTGAGGAATTAAATGCTCTGAGGCAGTGCAACAGCCTCATTCACTCCAGTGTTGCAAGGCAAGGCAGTCATCGCTGCTAAATGGGCCCATGTTACAGCGACATTAGCATTTTAATGCAACTAAAGAGGAGGTAGATTGACTGTAATTTAGTATCTAGTTGCATGGTCTTGTGCAGGTCCTCTCATTGCTGCTCCACAGGGGCCGATTACAGTTACACAGTGCACTTTGGAATCTAATTGGATTTATATGCAGTAATGTAGTTGTGTCATAGCAACGATTCTGCTGTGTAACTGCTATGAAATTCCAGTACAATTAGTTATTTATGTAGGACCAATAGTTGGAGGATAATGTACACAGCTTGTGCCAAGGTCCAGTTCAGGAGCAGCAAATGCTTTACTTTTTTCTGAAGCCATTGCAAGGGAACAAATATCACGATCCTGCTTTCACAGAGATGTTTCTCCTCACCTTTCACCATAAAAGCACTGACCTGGTACAGACATCCAGCAGGAAACTACTTCTGTCTTCAGTTTCTGCTTTGGTCGAACATATGGGTTGGCATGTGATTTAGTTTCTCTAGATCCTGCAAACGTGGTGAGCACAGGGGGCTGGCAGTAGCTAGAAGTCCTTGTGAAGCAGGACACCTGTAAGCAGTCCATCTGGTGGCCCTTCCTGCAGGAGGTCAGATTTCTCACAAAGACAGGCCTTGCTTCTCCATCCTGCATCCTTCGTTCATTTCTTGTTTCACTTGCTACCATACTTGCTACTGTTGACCGTATCAGCCTCTCTTTGCCCCATTCCTCTTTGCTCTGGAGCTCCAACTGTCTTTGTTGTGGCATGAGACAAGCAGGGTCACATGTTCAGCTGCTTTTCCTTCATCGAAGCCTACTCCTCACAAAGAACTACAATGTGAATGTGAAGAGAAGCCAGTGCTCAGCAGGGAGAGCTGATGTGGTGGCTGTGGGATGAGCGCAGGGGCAGGACAACATGCCAGCCACAGCTGCTCGGCTGGCTGAGGCAGCGTGGCTGCACCACACAGCCCTAAGGATAGGGCTTGGCCTCAGCCATTGCTCTGGCTTCCATTGTGTTTCCCCAACGACTGTAAGTAAAGGCATCAGCTTGCTCAAGTCACAGTTAGGCATGGTGGTTTTGCACTTTCTGCAGTTCTCTCTAATGACAAAATTGTAGCTATTAACCAAAGAGAGTCTGTTTAGTAGGGACTTCCTCCCCTTTAGGGCCACAGAGTAAGATGGAGCATTGCTGCTGTTTGGCACCATTTGCAGTCTTTCATCTCTTCTGACACAGCACCTGCTGGTACCTACTGAAGCATTTAAGCTCTTCCTCTCTGTGGTGCTATAATTTCTTTAAAATATTGTGACTTATGAGGAATAAAAAAAATAGAATTCCTCTCCCACACAGACCTTTGAGGGCTTGTAGAGTTGTAATTATATGCACACACAGTAGGAGCAGGAATCCTATCACTCTGGTTATTTTCCTAATGATAGGTTTACATAGCACAGCGTCATCTCTGCTTAAAGTTAGAGCTATCTTCTCTTGGCAGTAGCTATCCCAGGACAGTGGCATCACAGGACACAGGACAACTGAAGAAACTGTCTCTCAATTGCACATGCAAAACACAGGATGAAGTGTCCCCACACACCAAAGAAATAGATAAAAAGGTCAGGGTGGGCACTGGGTTCTGACTGTCAAAAAGGGGCTCTCTATTGTGAGGCAGTGACGTTGTCCCTTGTCCTAGCTGTAGACTCTCCAAAGCCCTCTTCAGACATGCCTGAACCTGCTGCAGCCATCTCTCAGCCAGTCACATGGCACCCTCTGAACTTTCACATTGGTGGAAAAGCTGTACTGATCCAGGGCAGCCTTCATACCCAGCATTGTAAAGTGGCACATGGCTTCAGCACTTCACAGCAGAGACAGGTCAATTGGCCATAGATGTTTGTACCTTCCGTATTTCGAAAGGGAAGCCATCTCTGCTTTTCATCTAGAGATGTAGGTTTACAGTGACAGAGGAAGGACATTAAATGTAAGCGATTGATACAAAACAGATCTATGAATATTCATTATATGTTTTATATTGTAATAATTTCAGCCACCTTGAAACTCCTTGTTCGCTTCCTGCCAACAACAAACGATAGACTTTTGCTCACAGAAGTCTTAATGGGAGGCAATTTTCAAAGGCGCATTTACAAATGTTTGTGGGAAACAGATGTTAAATGCACCCACTCCAGAAATCAAGATGAAATGCTGGCAGTGAGAGAGCAGGGATAGACCCAGGTGACTTATCTAATGCCTCACAGGGAAGCAGTGGCTTCAGCAAAGCTGTGAGTATGCCAAAACCATTTAAGAAGGATGAGTGAGTTACAGTGCTGAGTGACCCCATGTGAATATTGGACTCTTATGGCATGGGGTGCTGTTTGAAGAGTTAATGACTGCCCCTTTCCCACAGACCCTGCAGAGTGTGGGATTTGGGCTGTGTCAAATGGGTGGAAAAAACACTGTAGGAGAGGGTGCCCTGAGAAAACAACAGTCAAACACACATGCCTTGCATTTAAGTCTGTAGTCTCTCCTCACGTTTGCCTAGTCAAAGGCTATCACTAGCATTGTGCAGGCAGAAATTAAAATTTCCTGAGAAAATTGTAATGTTTAGCTTGAGGGCAGTGGCAACCTGCACCTGAGTCCCTCTGCCTGCACCTGTATATCTAATTCTTTGGGTGGAGAGGGTGGTGGCTTTGCTGTTGCTCTCTATTCTTGCTTCCCAGGCAGTGACAATGAGGCAGAGGGAGAGGAAATAGTTTGCTCAACTTGGCGTGAGAGATGGCTGAAAGAACAAGAGATAGTGCCCAACATCTCAGGCTGCTGCTCCTAATGGCTGGGCTTCCCAAAGATGCATTCCATCTCCCTTCCCCTGCGTTTTCCATTTTCCCAGTAAATGGGCTGTAAAGTCATAGCAGATTAAAGTTTGTCTAAGCCTCCTATAAAATATTGAAGGTGCAGCTGGTATTAATCTAGTCCTATTGTGGGATGAGGTGCATGTGTAATGGGACTATAGATTTACATGTGGTCTGTGGGCATTTAAAACACCCCAAAGATTGTTAAAAAGATTCTGAGAAATTGAATCCCTCACTGCATATTAAAAGCTCTTCATTACTGCTAATGTACACTAAATTAAGGTGGCAATTAAACTGAGCATATTCATCAGGATGGTGTGTTTTAATAAATTGTGTATTTAATATGATTGTGTTTTATTGACTTCTTCAGTAATTGCATATTTTTATCTAACAGGACAAGCTTGGATAGAACGAAATACATGGGACACACAGACAATTAAAGACTAGAATAGACGCTGTGCTTCCAGTCCCAAGATTTTTAAAGATGAGTGTTGCTTATAGCTTGGTCTTTCTGCATGCCAGATGCTTTCTCTGTATCTCTGTCAGGGCTGGTTAAGTGTAGCTATGGTGTGCAGGAGGGGGGTAAGAAATACACAGCTCAATTGCGTCGTTATCACTCACAAGGTACTGGATAAAGTCATCCCTCTTCAGTCGCTAATGAAACTGTCCCATCTCTGTTCTATCTGGAGGAGCAGACTGTGTGGAAATAATACTCTGAGAGGATTTTCTGGAAGGCCCTTCCTGTTAGATTTGTTCTCTTAGGAGAATCCACCACTTAGGTTTATAGAAGTTGGATACTGCTTGCGGACATTGAACACGGAAATCCTCTTGTGAGATGGACTTGTGAAGGAAGGCAGGCATGGTGAGTCAAGTCTCAATACCTGCAAGCCAAAGGGTGGGCTGCCACACTGCTGTGGAGAGGACACAATGGAGCAATGCCAGGTGGTGGTGGTCCTTTGCCATTGGTGCAGCTTAGAGCTTCAGAGAGGTTTCCAGGGACATCTCAGCTGGGACGGCCTCTAGAAATCGATACATTTACTTGGAAAAGAATCTAGTCCATATTTTCTAATGCCTTTAAAGGCTGCCTGGCACTGGTTCTGGAGAGCTTCAAACATGTCTTCTGCTTTTACTTGGTTGCATTGTGTATGAATAGGAAGGTAGGTGTAAGTTAGTACCATTTTCTCCTCAAGCCACTGGCTAATATTTTGTAGGAAATACTGCAGAACTGGTTCTTAGGTTTTAAAGAAGCAACAGATCAGTTCAGTGCATGTTGATGACAAAGAGATATTTATGTTAAAAGAAGATATACGTGGATGATGGGATAGAAAAGAAGTGACTGAGAAAGTGATTTGCATGAGGGTTGGGCGAGATGACCCCTAGACGTCTCTTTTATTCTTGGTTATTCTGTGTTTTCTGTCAAATATTTGAGATGGGAAGACTGTGATGAGCCATCAGGCAAGTGCAAAATGTCTGAATTTTATGTACTGAAACACAAATTGTCTGCAGAGGTATGTTAGGAGTGGACAAGGAAAATGGTTCGCACACTTGTTTTCAAGTAGAGGGTAGGAGTGATATGATAAGGAAGATGCAAGGATTGAGACTGGTGAAGATGAGGTGCTCCTGAGAGTTCTGATAGACTGGCGCATCTATGAGATGCTCTTGTTCCATTTGCCACCAGGTAACTTGGACACACCTTGGACAACTGTTTCCAAACATTTGTTCATACACTGGAAGAGGTGTCCAGTGAGTCTGGGGAATCTCAGACCTTGGAGACATTCAAAACCTAACTAATGTGACCCTGAGCAGCCTGCTCTAACTTTGAAGTTAGATCACACTTTGGAATTGTCCCAGGTTGGAGGCAGTGGGTGTTTGTACTCGATGACATCCAGAGGTCCTGTCCCACCTAAGTTTTTCAGTGATTTCATCTCCAAAGCAAAGGTAAAGGAACAATTGAAGTGAATCCATGCATTTCAATATAGTGTGAAAAGGATACAGGGATTGAGGGAATGTCAGTGGTAGCAAAGAGAAATTTAGTAGCAGTTTTTTGGGGTGTGGTTGAACAGCTGCCTTCAGAAATGTGAAGTTCAGGGTAGCTGCAAGGCATGCAAAAACAAATGACCAAAGAAAGGAAATAATTGTGGCTAGACAACAAAAAAATGCATTTCCTTAAAAAAGTAGACTATTCCTAACCGATTACAGCAGCTAGGATGTTTCCTGGCTACACTGCTGGGGATTTTTAGCCTCCCCATCACTTTGCAAGATAAAATTCATGAGTGATGGAGGTGGGCAGGGGGGAGGGAGAGAAATGTAGAATAATCTGCCTAAGAAAAACCTGAACATTTATAGCTACATTTCAGATAAAAACATATACATCTGTCTCACAAGTCTGAGATGGGACAAGCCAGAGAAAGCATCTGTCAGCCACTGTCTTCTGCAGTTCTGACTGTTAATGTTTGCTTAGCATTAAACGTCTCCTACGGAGGATAACTTAATCTGTCACAAATTTGGGGCCTGAAGGAGGGAAGAGAAGGTATTTTTAAAAGGTAGATTAAGATATTTGCATACAATTTTTATCTCGCTTCTATCAGTGTGTACTAGCAATAACTCAGATAATTTGCCTTTTTTGTGTGTATGGCTTAAAAAGGAAAGTAGAAGGAAAAGCAGTTCTTTGGGTCAGGATTGTCCTTTAATATCAGTTATTTTCTCCATACAGTGTGTCATCAGGGACTTCAGGTACCTTCAGCTAATTCGCAAGGCAGCAGTTGGCACAAATGCATCCATAATTAATTTTTTTGTAAGTCATATTATTTGCATTTTGCTTGCATTGTTTGTAAATAGGATTAGTTACATACTCTTCAAAGTCTGGAGCAGTACTATGCTGGAGTGCTTTAACTCTGACATCAAACCTCATAAGAGATCAGATCATGCTTTTGGTTGATTTTTCCTGTTTTAATCAGTGCAATTACAGGATCCAAATGATGACCTTGCACATGCTGTTTGGGAATCTGGGTACCCAGCAGAAACTGGAAAGGCTGTGTTATGCTGGTACCTGTGGGTCTCTCCAAGCTCTAAGTTCCACCACTAAAACAGTTGCTCAGATCAGGTTAGTGGGTTGGCATTTTTTGGAAGTTTGCATTGAGTTCTTCTGATGTGGAAACTGATATGTTTGTTCTTGGCTTTGCCAGCCCAGACCTCACGGTGTTGCCCCTAACTTCTTTTTGCACATCCTGAGTGGCAGATTTTGGAATTTGTAAGCACAAATTAGGTGTGTTCCTGACTTCAAGCACAGCACAGTGAGTAGGGTTGCACTTAGTTGTTGCTTTGCTGTGTGAAGCATGGTTGATTTAGACATTGCAAGTTTGAGCCCAGTGCTGCTGCTGGGGACAATTTCTTGCCAAAGCAATGAAGAGAGTCCTTGGTTTTCAAAGCTGAGTGTTCTTGCTGCTCCCAGGTTACTGTGACTACCTGGCCCTGACAGTGAAGTTTTCAGGATCTGGTTGCTTAATGGATTTACAGTCTCCCTTCCTTGCTTATGCCTAGAAAACATTTTAACATGCTGAGTGGATGAGCGGGCAAGAGCAGTGCAAAGAATCGTAGTTTAGGTTTGTCTTTGAAAACAAAAGTAGGCCTGTACTCAGTTCATGTAAATCAGAGTAGTTCCAAGGGAGCTTGTTTGTCTTACAGAGGAAGCAGACCCAGACATGGAAAGGAAAGTAAGGCAGGGATGTGATTTATCAATGCTACAAAGCAGCAAGACAGTGTTTGGCTTAGGACCTGCTGCTTCTTAGACCACAGGCATGTGAGTGACTGTAGTGGGATGAGTGTGTATGATATGCAGTGACACAATAAGGATAAACTGTTTGAGGGTTTGTTCCTTTTTTTTGACTAAGACTACTATGATACAGATCATGCAGGTGGGTGCTCAAGGCAGCAGGATTTTGAAATTTCTCAGATAACTTCAAGACTTTGGCTAATATACTAAGATTTAGGCATCCTTTGTTTCACTGGAGCATGGCTTTTTTGTGTGATGCGGGGAACATCTGGGTGACACTAATTGTGGGGCTCTTGAAGTTCATTGATTTGTCTGTATTTTCATATCCCTCTCTACTATAGTATCCAAGACTTGTGTTAGCTTAAGGTTTACCTTTCCCATAAAACTGAAGAATTCCCTCCCCAAGTGTCCTTATCCTTCTGAACTTGAAGATTTATAGAGCATGGTGCTTATAACACCAAGGTTGTGGGTTTGATCGCCATATGGTCCATTCAACTAAGAGTTAGACCCGATGATCCTTGTGGTTCCCTTCCAACTCAGAATATTCCATGAAATCTCTTTTCTCTGTGAGTTTTTCAGACATGGCTTTAAACACTGTCAGGAAGCTGTGGGCATTTCCTCCAGGCCCACATCAGAGCTCTGTGCCCTACTCCATCTACTGCAGTAATGGTCTTGTCTTTGAGTCTCTCTGAGCAGAACAGTTATGTATCAGAGATATAAGAAAATAAAGTTTGTAAAGAAAAGTATTGCCCTTGTTCTCAGGTCCAGATTCAGGTTTGTGTTTCTCCAGAAGCAAGGTGGACCTTCTTGGGATCCCTCTAGCAAAGGGGGTTCCCTGGGCATTACCCACCCAGCAGAGGCACACTGCTGTCCTGCCCCAGGCACATGTAGATGCAGAGGAAAAGCAACTGCATGTCCACATTAACTTCTATGTTGCACCATTTGCATCTCTGCTTGTTTTGTCACTAAAAAGGAGCTGATTTGATTTTAAACCAAGTAAAAGTAATGTAGAAAACACACACTGTGTTAAGAAAAATCTGGCTCTTACCTCAGGCAGCCCCATGCTGGGAACTCTGCCTGCCATGGGTTTTCTCAGCTCTTTGGCTAAAGCAGAGCAGTTCCTATGGTCACAGAAGAAAGCACCCCACAAGGCTCTACAGCAATTACAAATTTTGTGGATTAACTAAAACAATGAAGGAATGAAAGAGAGTTTTATTTCCAACCTGGTGAAAACCTTGGATAATTTCATTTTTTTCTTTTAAGTGAATTAAGTGTACTTTGCTAGCATAGCACATCATTAGATGCGTGTCTGTTTAGGGAATGGCATTTACAGTGGAGAAAGGGAATGGAATGTGCTAAGAGGTGTGTGAGCTTTGGGAAGTCTTCTTTAAGGAGCTGAGCAAACCTGTGCCTCTGTGTTTGTATATGTACGGATCTATCTGTGCACAGCACCCTGACTGCATTGTTTTCTGTTTCAGTGTATTTACTTGTCTGTCCCTCTGGGGTACTTGGTGATATAATGGCATATTAGGAGACATACTCACTTCATTAAACAGCAAGCAGGAACTTTCCTCCAGTGTAAACCTCATCTGGTCAGGATTTATTGTTGCTTTTCCGATAGAAGCACTGTCCAAGCAGTTTGTTGTCTAAACCAGACATCGAGTTTCAAAACTGGTTAAGATTCCATAGCATTTTTTCCTGGCTTTAAAAGCTTTCCAACATTGATCCATAGGTTTTTCCTGCAAAAGACATGTGCAGAGTGGGGCGTAGAGCACCAGGACTTCATTAGCACAGAACATCTCAGTGCATGACAAGCAAGTGGTGTGTCCCAGGCTGAGTAACCCTGTGTGGACAGCCTCTGTGAGCCCTCCCATGTCCACACACTGCAGTCATTCCCAGTTCAAATGTCTACAAGTTTTCCTGAAACTGTGTTCCATGTTTGTGTGGCATTCATTCTGTAGAGAAAGCTTGTATGGAGCTAACTGTCCCAAACGTTTGTTGTGCATCTTTTAACTGGGCACAGCTTGTTTTGGCTGCTGTGTCAATACGACCTTTTTTGGTGTGAAATAGGCAGGTATATTCAGTGCTTCTTCAACTTGACAGGCTTTAAGGTGGGCGGTAAAAATCTTCATGTGCAGAGGGATATTTTTCCCCCAGTATTTCACTCTGCAAGTAAAGCTAGACCTTTCCTCTCCTGCAACCTTCCTCTTCACGTCTGTGTTCCACAGACCTTAAAGAATGCAAAGGGGCTTAGCAGTGATCATTATCTCTTAGTAGCCTGTGCTATGTTGCCTTGTTCAGGTAAGAAAAGAGCTCTTCTATATAATGAACTCCACAGGATCTTGGGGGAAATACAAATGAAAATAGGATTGTGTCATTCCAATAAAAAAGAGTGTGCTAGGAATGTGGTGTTGTTTTTCAGGAGGAGTTGGACCAAAGAGCCTGAAGACCATGGAGGGAGACTGTCTGAGCTGCATGAAGTACCTGATGTTTCTTTTCAATTTCTTTATATTTGTAAGTATTTAGAATTCACTTTCTTTCCTGAATCCTTCTGTTTCCAGCAGCCTGCTGCTCCCCAGCAGGATAGGCTGTAATTTTGATAAAGTTGCCACGATACAGAATATCCCCTCTACTTTGCACTAGCAATCACTGAGCATTTTGCAGCATCCAAAGATGTTCAGATATTCAGCAAGGCAGTGCAGTGGTCACTGTTTTCTGAGTTATTGCTGTCCTTGACAGGGAAGACCACAGAGAAAGCTGTAACTAGTGGTGTACGTGGTTTGTCCTTGAATGGCAGAAGAAATTGTTTTCTAGTCCTGGGTACCCTGCTGAGGTTTTCACTCAGAAACAGTCATTCTCTGTTGTTCTTGTTTTTTAAAGGAAGGGTGGCCAGTGCCCTGGCCTCTGTGGCAGGGATGGTTCATGCATGCCCCTTCAGTGGGCTGCCCTCCACAGGTGTGGCAGCAGACTGAGACTGTCTTTCAGCATTAGGAGGAAGTAAATAGTTGGTAGAGTGATGTGTCTAGGAGGAAAGGCACTTTTGCTGCAAATGATTCATTTAGTGAGCAAGAGATACTAATAGTAGCAGGTCAGAAGTCACCTGTACAGCAGAGAATATATGCAATGGAGAAATACAAATTCTCCAAATTAATATGTTTGATCAAAAGATAGTAATGAATCCAGTTTTTTCTTCAGCAGTTGTTTTATGTTGACCTGTCTCCCTCTCTCTCCATTCCTTGTGCTGTGACAGCTGGGAGGAGCGTGCCTGCTGGGACTTGGAATCTGGGTCATTGTGGATCCCACAGGTTTTCGAGAGATAGTGGCTGCCAACCCTCTGCTCTTCACAGGAGCGTACATCATGTTGGCTATGGGAGCAATGCTCTTTCTGCTGGGTTTCCTCGGCTGCTGTGGTGCCATCCGTGAGAACAAATGCCTCCTGCTTTTTGTAAGTGCCCGTGCATTTTCTGTTGGCCTCTTGGTGCTTCCCAAGAGTGGGAGTGACTGGATAGATGATGCTGTGATGAGTTCATGAATGGATATCTGTTATTGTAGCCATTATTCCTTTAGATAATAAATAGGCTTAGGATACTTTTACACACAACTAGAAATACAGAGAATTTGCTTTTTTATATATAGATTTGAGCCCAGTCTCTTGAGTGTATTTTGACCTTTTTAAGCTTTCTTTCAAAATGCCCCCATTTAATTAGTTGGATTTTTTTTTACATTTATAAATTGACCAAAAGTGGTCCTCTTGACCTCTCAAAACCCACTGCTCCACTTGTAGATTCATTCCTCAGGGGCTCACAACAAAGCAGAGGGAACGTATAGAGCACAGCATCTGGTAAGGGAGCGTCCCCCATGTCAGCAGAACTGCCCAGCTTGGATCTGCATGGTGACCTGTCATTACAGCTCTCAATAGCTGGTCACTCCTTTACACAGCCTACTCTGCTCCTAAAATGAACCAGATATGTTATTGTTGAGCACATTCTCCTGAATGGCAGGGTTAAATTTCAGCCCATGTGGTCATCAATAATTACAAAGAGCTAAAATAAATCACTTCTGTCCCTGCCTCCTCCCCCATAAGTTCTGATACTGCAGGGTTTCCAGCCATTATCTTCTACTGTAGTGTATTACCAGTTATGTATTGAAAGACAAAGATCATTAGTTTTCTTGTTTTCTTGTTTTCTTTTTTTTTCGTCTAATGTGACCTTTTCCCCTCCTGCTGTGTCTGTTGGCACTTTGGGGTTGTTGTGTTTTTTGTTCGGTTTTTAGATCTTGATCTTACTTTTTGTATTTTGTTATGATTATGTCTTGCACAGCTGCTTCATGGTGTAAAAAAGGCTTGTCTCTAGCTTTAAACAGAACGGGAAAGTCCTTTTTTTGAATGCTGCAAACCTGTCTTTCCTAGAGATGAGTGAGATAAATTCTCTCTAGCCCTTGGCTCACACATGCCTTGAGTTCATAGCCTGCAAATGAGATCCCTTTCCTGGAAGCCATAGTGAGTTCGATTTCTAGTGGCTCCTCTCAGAAGTAAATCAGAAAGCCAGAGGTATCCCTGTGAAGTCTGTGGAGATCTGCCCAGAGGAACCTAATAAAATGCAAAGGATCAGGCCCAATGAGCCTGAGGTTACTTCAAAGCCTGTCCCTGTCAGATTAAGAAACTAAAAGTTATGTTTGATGAAAATTGTTGATTGTAAGTGAATGGGAGAGTAATATTTTCAGTTTGGACCATGTCTGCTGCATACAGATGGGTAACCTGTCTGGAGGAAAGTAGCTCTGGGCCATGCTCTTTCCTGATTTAATATCAGTTACAGGTTTGAATATTCCTCCATGTGTTCTAGTTATACTCCAATGCACTTGATTTTATGGTTATTACTTTTCTGACTCTTAAAGGTAGTTCTGAGCTCTGCTGCTTTATTTATTTACCTTTATGATTATTTGATTTTGAATGAAATGGGAGAAAAATACAGGCTGGAAGTAATACTCTACACTAGGAGAAACTCTAAAAGTAATTACTGGATGAGGAATTATTGTTTCAGTTTGATCAGGTCTTCGAGGTCTTCTGGTATCAAAGCTAACTCTGTTAAACAAGCCGCTATCTCATTCAGTGGTGTGAAGCACTTGGATGAGGACCTGTGCTGATACCAAGGGAGCAACTTCTTTTTTGGGGCCACACCAGCTGATGTTAAAATCAGCTTACATTAAAACATCTGTGAAACCCAAAATCTGATAGGAGTAAGTTTTAGGCATTGAAGAGGCAAAATGTTCATGACTGTACTCCAGAGAGACTGGGAACACTTGCAAAACAGAGTGTAAGTCTTTGGCGGGGGTGGTACTTGGGGAACAGTTGCTAGATCAAATCAAGTCCACTTACAAAGCTGTTGAAGAATTGATGAGCCAGAGAGCTGCTTGAGTGAGATTTCACAGTGATGCATAATGTATGTCTAAAGCTTTTAGTCCAAATGCAAACAGAAGATAGAAGGGACAAGACAGATGCACAAAAGCGTGGTCTCTAGGTTCTGGCTTCTGTCTTTCCAAGGACTTTTATTTTTCATTAAGCTGCTTATGTTTTGGTTAAAAAAACCCCTCACTGTGGAACCTAACATGTTGCATTAAGCACAAGGCTGTGAAGTATTTCTAGATTTCCCAGCACCTGGACATGGCTCACAAAATTGCCCTGCAGATCAGGCATTGAATAACTTCTAGATTGTCCTGAAGACCCTCTGACTGCAAAACACCACCATAAAAATCAGAACCCAAAATACTGTTGAGCATACAACATTGCATCATGGGACTGAATTCAGCTTTGGAACAAGAACAGTCCATGTTAGCTTCATTTGGCTTAATTTTGAGTGCAGACATCCTGTTCTGCACTCCTCTAAGATGGATGTAGTAGCCCCTGAAACTCCTCAACATGAAAATGCAGGTCCTTTGAGTTAAAGGCAGTTGCTGCTCTTTTTAGAATGGTGGTTTTGAAACTGGAATGGTAATGAAACTGTGAAAAATAAACATGAGGCATTGATTTGTGGAAACTTCTGATAAACCTATAACCATCACCAGGAGCTGAGGCAAGATTTTTGACCAATATGAGAGACCACGCTTCTCAGGATGTTCACCTTGGATATGGGGGGTACCTGTGTTCACATTTTGTGTCTCAAGCTTAAATTTGAATGTGAGGCTACTGTGTCCGATGCATTAACCAGCTGGCTGTTTTGTGCTCTCATATATCAGTAAACAATTTAATTTTTGGAAGCAAAATGTAATAAGCAGATTTTGACTCTCCTTAAAATTCAGAATGGGAGCAAGTTCTGAAACGCTGATGATCCATTTTCTTTTTCTGATCAGCCCTAATGGCTGCTTGTGTTTTTTTCTACTGCAACTGTTATAAATCTGTAATGCAGAATGCACAGTATAAGTGTAAATCAGTTTGGGAACGATAATGACGCTTATCATGGATAATCTGGGAATGACTACTCCCACTTCTGCACAAGCCTGTGCTGGAGGTTGGGTGAACATGTGTCTCCCAGTAATCAGTAAATGAAATGCAATTAGCAGGGTGATGGGATTAATCACTTGATCACCACCTTAGACCTTAGTGACTGTGCTGAGATCCCTTGATGGATGATGAAGTGAATTTGCAAAGCATAGTTCATTCTCATCAGTTGTTCTTTGCCCTCCTGTGGTGAAATTAAAACAGTCTCAAAGCAGGAAAAAAAGAAGCCACACGGAAAACTTCAGCAGTAAGAATAAATTAGAGAGTTAACTAGTTCAGCAAAATCAAGCAACATAATTTTGTTGGAAACCAGAGTCCCTCCTCATCTGATTTTCTTGTTTTGTCATTTGAGCCCAGGCTCCTTTTCTTTTGTTTCCACTGCAAAGCAGGAAGACAAACGGGACAGGGTGGTGCGTGCACTTTTCCAGTGAGGAAAAATCACTTACAGCCCTGATAATTGACAACAAAACAACATTTTGCACATTCCAACAGGTAGTTTGAATTCTGTCTCCATCATCAAAGTGCGCAATGCACAGCCTTTCAGACACTGTTTATAAATTGTTGCTTGGGGATCACAATGGTACTTGTGGCCCTTTCTGCCTGCTGTTTCAGAAAGACCTTCTACAACCATCCAGACTTCTCTTCCTATTTTCACTTGTTGCTTCATCCACCTTTGTTGGTAACATGTAACACATTTATTACCCTCCATGTGATGTGGTCTTACAGGGTTCTCTGTTCACTTCTGTTTTTCTCACACAGTGCCAAAATCGGAATTAATTTCTTAACATTCACTCAGTTTTATAAAATCATCTTTGAGTCTGTGGGCTAATTCTTGGCACGTTTGAATTTTTGACAGGCTGCCTCTCAAATGGTAATTTCTCTTTCTGTCTATAAAATCATAAAAAATGTCCATCTAGTTCAGACTTATTGTTCTTCAAGCCCTCTATTTTGTCTACAAGAATGGAAATAAATGCCATTGTGGGAGAGAATGGGAGCCCTAGCCACTTTCTGCTCTGCTCCCATAGCTGTTCCTCAGCACCAACATTTGTTGTTTTAAGAATGTTAGAGGGTGCATCACTGCCCGTTCCTTTTACTGTTTCATATGGTCTGAAGCAGCATCAAACTAGCATGAGGCATCAAGGTAACTGAGAATTGGTCCTAAGGACAGGCAGAGTCCTGAGCTCTTTGATGTTACTGAGGGCTCTCCTGCTCTGGGAGATTTGTTCCCTTCAACATTCTTTTCCTCTCTACTTGAGTTTTGCCTCTACCTGTGTGCCACCAGGCAGAAGGATCTGAAGTGGGAGCCTGCAGGAATCCCAGCACTCCTGGCTAGGAAACACTCCACAGCACCTGAGTGCTCTGGGTAGACAAGGGAACAGCACCCTCACAGCAAGATGTCATTCTCTCTGGGGATGAGACCTCTTAAGTGCATCTGATTTAATTTGGTGGGGTGGGTGGTGCAGGCACGGTGAATCACTCGGGCTTGGTAACATCACTGAGACAAGGTGCCTGTAAGTAAGACTGAAAACCAGACTTCTTAGATTGAAGCAGCAGAAAGCTGCAAGGGCAACAGGATGAAATAAAGTTTAAGATGAACAGCCACATGCCTCTCTGTTTTGCTTTCCTTTCTTTTCCCTAAAATTATAATGACATAAGTGTAATGGTTTTACTTCAGACTGGATGTCTGTTTCTCTTTTACTGCCACTTAATCTTCTAGCTGCGCTTTCTGTCAAGTCTGCAGTGTGCCCTTCATTTAAGGATATGAATATGCACACTTTGGATACTATACAAAACATGGATGATTCTTCCATTATCAAATGTAATTCTTATGGTGTGTTATCAACTTTCTGTACAGGTTCTGTGTGGTTATTACTTAACTCATGCAATCCCATTGTGTGGAGGGAGATATTAACCAAGGCTAATTTTGTCTTTAAATGAGGAATACTCTAAAAAGAGTCCATTTTTGGTTACAGATTTAAATATTTGAGTATATATCCCACTGCCTTCCTCCATACAAAATAAGCTGGGATCATATCACAGTAAAATTGTGTTGTTTATATTGTGATGAAGGGTGTGTCTGCATATGCATGTGATGCATGCACTTGTGTCAGGACAGTGTGAGGACATGTATGAACATGTCTACAATTATATAACTTCTTCCATCAAAGTAGGCATTACTGTTTTAACCTGGTGTAGATTTATCAGGGGATGCTACAGGTTCTGTAGCCTTATTTGCTTCATTAGAAGCAGGCAAAAGCATCACAAGCTCCCATGTCCTGTGATGAGATCGGAGAGGGACTGTGTGTGCTCCATGTGACTGTCTCATAGGTTTTTTTTTAGTTGCCAGGGGAAAAAAATTTCCTCAGTTATTTTTTCCATCCCTTTGGTGATTAGCAAAACCCTGTATTCCTACTACCTATTGCTCACATTTAATGCTGTCTGTGCTTTTTTGTTTATCTTCTCTTTTCCAGTTCTTCATGTTTATTTTGTTAATCTTCCTGGCAGAGCTTTCAGCTGCAATCCTGGCTTTTATCTTCAGAGAAAATGTAAGTATCCAATGGTGGGCAAACTGAACTTCAGTGGGATTGTACACAGCTGGAGCATGGTGTTAGATGGTGGTTGATTTGTTTGTAGAGCAACTGATTGTTTCAAATACCAGCAAACCTGCTTCATTGCTACCACCAGTCTGCAGAACTGCCAGCAAGTCAGGGAATGCTAACTAACCTGGATTGTGCAGGGTGGATAGTTTGCGTGCACCAGGGGGCTACTTATTCCTCGAGTTTTTTGAGTCTTTTAGAGTCTTCCTGACTCTCTTGCAGCCAAACAGTTGAACATTTCATCACGAAGAACCTTTATAATAAAGTCACATTAACCTTAAAGGCAACTATTTTTTCAATATAGCATGTGTTTAATATTAATATTAATAGTGAAAACTTCTGTTTTACCAGGAAAGTCAATGCTTGCAGTGCAGTGCAAAAGCTCTCTTGAGAATCTTCTAATCTTATTCCTTCTTGAATTTCCATATTGTAATGTTCACCAGACTTCTATCAATGCTGCTTGCAAGATATCCTTCCTGACCTGCCCTAAGCAAGTCACCCCATGTCCAGTTTTCAGTCCCATCAGTGGTTCCTTTGCATATTGCCCTGCTTAGAGTTTAGTCCTTCTCTCCAAAGCTTTGTGTGATGTATCTTTCTCTACTCTGCTGCTATGCATATTATTAAATGGCCATCATCCCTCCCCAGAGGTAGTAGTAGACTTTTACTACACTAGTAGTAACCACAGTCTCATTTTTTCTCTAAACAGCAAAGATTTGTGTATTTGTGTGTTCACATATGCCAAGGAAGAGCCTGACTGAACTAGGTCCATCCTTTTCTGAGTGATGGGTGTGAAAGTAGATTGGTCAGTAGAGGTGGTCACTTGTGACTGTTAGTATTTATTTTGTTATCTGGCCTCCACTGGTAGTATGAGAACACACAGCACATTTTCTGTACTGAACGTGAGAGAAATATGGTGTGAGCATAGAAGGGCCATGCATAATGATGCTTTTCTTGAACCAGGATATACTTTTAATTTTATTCATATAAAAAGCTTTTGATACAAAATAATCAAGACTAGGAAGCTCACAGCAAGACAGGGTGGTGTTTGTAGGATGGGCTTGGGGGGAGGTAGCGAGAGGATTTTTTTCCCTTTATAAACTGTTTTTTTTTGTCTTTGCCTCAGATCTGAAGGCAGTGGGGAAGGAATGGCGCTCTGCACACAGAGTGGGCACCCCATTCCAGCTTAGGTTTTGAGACCATGCCCTCATGGGAACAGCTATTGCTCCATAAATATGTTGCAGCATGGGGGGGTCTGGTGTGTTCTGGCCATTACAGCTCTGCTGTTTTAGACAGTTCCTTTGGTTCAGTACAAGTAGCCGACCACACACATAGAAATGCCCTGCAGGCCCAGATATAAGCTTCATGACAGAGAGAACACACTTCCTGGGGATCAGGGAATGACTGGCAACTGACAGCTCCCACCTCTCATCATCTCTCTCAGAAACTGGTAAAAGGTACAAGAAACTGCCCAGTCGTGCTGCAAGTCCTGAGTGCAGGGTGGCTGTGTTCTCCTCGCTTACAACCTGCTTCTGGGCAAAGTATCAGTATCTTCCAGTCCCATGGGAGCCACAGGACATGTAAGGACATGTTATCTTGCAAGATAAGGTCACAGTGGCTATTCTACTGTGGCATCTGACGGTGTTTTGCAAGATAAAACTTGTGGGGAACAAACTTCTATCTTTCTTGAGTCTGTCTGCTTGTTTGTATCATCACCTTCCCACTCTGTCAGAATGACTGACAGGAAGGGCTTAAATGGGAAGGAATGCAGAACGTCAGATCCCAACATAGATGGCTCTGTGTAGAAGTCAAACTCGGTCTGCAAATTCTTGTGGTTTGTTCTCTCCTCAGGTTTCTTCTGAAAAAAATACCCCTTGTTTTGGTGTTGCAATGTATTTTGATGGTAGCTTCTCTGGCTTTGTAACTACTTGTGGCCAATTTTGCTGTCACCTTGGGGTAAGGGTGAGGCTAGATGGCTGGTCAGGATGTCCATAGGGACAGAGGTGGTCTTCCAGTGACCCTGTGTCAGGAAGAATTCTTCACAGTAACAATTTAGGTTCAAGTTCAGATGTGCTTTTCTCTTGCTTGCAAAACAAATTACTTTCAAGGCGTGAGGTGGTAAATGCACATTTAGGCAACCTGAATTTCTTGGAAACTTACCAAGGAGGATTCTGGGATGATCATTGCACCAGTCCATACGGCTGTGGTCTCACTGGGTGAGTAGAATGAGAAAAAAGATACACTTTATCTGTTAGCTTTGCAGATAATGTTCAGTGCAGCTTTCTCCTATATAGTGTTTTACATCCAAACCAGCTCCCAAACACTCAACAGGGTTAAATTATTAATTGCTGAGGGAGTGAAAGAAATTAAGAGACAAAAATATAGGAAAAAAGAGACGTTTTCTGTTGAGATTTGACATTAGAGGAAGAGTCAGTGAAGCAGAGTGTGGTGGTGGAGTGAGTGAAAGTGGTGTTTGTGACGGTGAGCTACTGTGATCTGCAAGTCCAGCTGCACTTACAATGAACTGTTTAAAAACTTTCTCTGAAGAGGAAGGCTACTGTTAATCAGCTATGGGATTTCCAGACTTTCTCTTCCTTTGAAAAGAAGATTTTTGGGGGGTGGAGAACCCTTTTTCATCTGTAAGTTCCCCCATAAAATAATGACTTCCATGAACACTAGAGAGATGGCTATGAAAGATCAAATTGACTTATGTATAGGAGTTGCTTTTTCTATGCCCTTCAGAAGTCTGGATGGGAAAAAACCTGGAGGGATATTTTACTCTTAGTGGATTGTTTCAGCAAGCAAGAAAATGGGATGGTAGGAGCAGAAGAGTCCAGTGGTAGGCCTTTGGATGGAGTTTGGATTTTTAACTGCAGTTCTAACATTTAATAAGCAAGTTGCTTTGGTTCCTGATACATCTGTTTACTCACACATGAGGCAAAAGCTAAAGAACATGAACCTCCCTCAGTTGAGTGGATGGAGGTCTCTCCAATGGAAGGCACTGCGGAAGCGAGAAGTGCAGCACTGATGACTGTACCTACAAGCACCGTACTGTGTCACAAACCTCAGGATGCTCCAGGCCAGTGCAGATGGATAGGAGTGGGTCCTGTTTTCCAAGCAGGCACTGCGAAGGCACCTTCTTGCACAGCATTCAGTATTCTTAAACAGAGCACTGCATGAGAAGGTTGTGCCCTTCCTGGGCAGTGCCAGCATGCATGCATGCCTGTGTTGTGCAGAAATGCCCTTCTTTTTCTAAGCCCCCTTCATCTGGCTGCACTGATCCCAGCCAAGCCATTTCTTGAAGCAGTGCGACAAAACAGCCACACTTCATTCACTGGCATATAAAGGTATGCATGGATGTGTTGTACTGAAGATGTCACCCCCAGAACAGTGAGAGAAAAACACAGCTGAACAGCTCCTTATTGTTCATGGCTGTGGCTAGTACAATTGTGTCGTTCGAAGTATGTGCAAAGATCTAGTTTTATTAGTAGGTCCTTTGCTGCCTTCTGAATGGTTCTTGCCATAGCACTCCAATGTGCATAGACTTCCTCAGGGCTGGTACTAGTTTCAGCGAGACGGATGCCATGGGAATGGCTGTAGAACTGTCTTATTTTATTGTCGTCTTTTTTTTTTTTGTCACATTTTTCTGAACTTCAGATATTTGGAACAAGCAGTTTAAGAGCAACAAAATAGAATCAGTTATTTTCTTGGTAAACTTACTCTTCCAGCACTGGGCTCTGTTTTAGGCCAAGTGTCGTAAAAATCTCACACAAACTCTGAACAATTTCCTCTGGGATTGCTGCTGTCAAAATAAAAGTTCCGCTTTATATTTAAATTACTCTTTTGTTTCAGACCCTGACAAAGGCAGCCAACTGGGATTATTACCAATGGTAGTATCAGTTTCAAAGTCTGTGCTTCAGGAACAGACGAGCGTCAAAAAAATATGCTGCTCTCTGCAGGCTTGGATTGTGTGTGGATAAAGTACACAGTGAAAGGAAAGGAAAGGAGAACACTGAGGATATATTTCAGCTTTTTCTAACCTGACCCTCCCTCAGTGCACCAAATTCCCAAAGCAAAAATGTTGTGTTCTCTGGTATTTTAGTATTCAAAAGCAAAAAAAAAAAAGAGTTAATATCTGTCCCAAATAAGTCATTTAGGAATTTAGCAGCATATCTAATTAAAAGGTAATGAGATTGAGCTACCTGCATGATTCAAGTATTTGTGACAAAGTTTTATCCAGTAGTGACGTAGTCATTAAATTTAGCCTTTATTTGTATTTGTAAAAGAGAAGTTAATATTAAGTGTTATTCAGGGTCTTTTAAAAAGTGACCACAGCCTTCTCTTTTTTTCCTTAGATTTTGTCGGTTGCAACAGAAACAAACAATTTTGTGCTTGTGCTTTTGTGCCCACCCATAGACTTCATACATATGTATGTGTATGTGTGATATTTCTCGTTGCATATCAAGAACCTGAAACCAGCTTGTAGCAGTAAATGTTACTGCATCAGCAGCACTGTATGAACAACAGGGGGGAGTAAAAAGGGTATTTTTCAAGCAGCTTAATTCCTGATCCCGCAAATATGCAACATTAGAGCAGTGCTATAGCCAGCCAAGTCCAGCCCCTTCACTGCAGCTTTGCAAATGGCAGAAGATTTGCCTGTGTGGATCACAAATCACAAGGTATTTTGGAGAAGGGACCACACAAGTCAAGACCTATTGGGTATCTGAAAAGGGGATTTCTTGAGGTTTTCATCTTGAACTGACAGAAAGGCAGCAAGATTGAACTGGGATGTTCAATTTAACAAGACTATTAGGATTTTATATTTACTATTCCTCCAGAGAGTGATCCTAAGTAAATGTAATTTCAAGGTGTCTAACTTTTTGAGAAGACTCTGAGCCAAATTGTTTGTGCATTTTTTCTATTTTACTGTAAATGTAAACAGGAGTAAATGAAATTCCACTCATTTATATTGCTGGCCTTAGGAAAAATGTTCAAATTATCTAAGCCCTGGAAATATAAAGAGAGTTTTTTTCTTCATGTGTGTGGGTTAGTTTAGCTAATCTATAGCATTGTCAGGGAAATGGTGTTTTTCTGATTCATAAGCTGACTTTAACATTTCCTATTTGTTATATGTTTTTTTACTTCCTTTTCATTCCCAGAAAGTTTCATATTAGGGCTTCATTCTGCTCTCTCACACATGGAAGTAAATTCAGAGCAGCTCCTATGTTGTTAGTAGGAAGTTAACTGGTTTGAATGAAAAGCGGGGGGAAAATTGTGCTTTGGTTACAGACCTCATAAAGCACAGTAAGTGAAACCACTATTTCGGTGGGGATTTGAAGATCATTCTAAAATCTGTTTTAGGTCTGTTTCAATTTATGAAATACTTTCAAATAAGGCTGAAAATTAAAAAACAAAAACCAAACCCAAAACCAAACCAACCAACCTTTAAGTGTTAACATTATCCTAGAAGTACAGGTATAATTCAATCCCTGATTTTAATGAGCAACAGTTTTATTCAACAGGTACCTTTCACCCTGGATATAGTTATGGGTCAGCCAGTGGCTTTTCCCATGTTTCTCCTCTGGGGTTAGCAAAACAAAAACAAACCCATACAACAAAAGAACTCCCTGCATTCACAGAAGGGAGCTTTGGGAAGTGTTTGGGAAAGCTGTTGGCAGTAGCCTTTACATTTCCACCTGTCTGTGCATTTCAGCTGACCAGAGAGTTTTTCACTAAGGAGCTGAAGAAGCATTACCAGAGAAACAACGACACAGATGTCTTCTCTTCCACCTGGAACTCTGTTATGATCACAGTAAGTCAGACCATGCCAGTTTCATGCTGCCCACGGTCAGTGGCCACCAACACGGTGCTCAGCCCGCACCCTCAGCTCACCCAGGGTCAGCCTGCTCCCACCATCCTGCTGCGTCAAGCCTAGCACCAGGGCTTGTGGCGGTGGTTGGAGGGAGGTGAGAATTTGGCTTGCAGCCAGTCTTTCTCAAATGGAGCTGCCACCAGTCCCGAGACACTCCCACTGACTGCATCAACCCTTGTGTTTTGCCAAAGCCCAAGCCATTTGACCTGACTGGGTACCCCCAGGTTTCAAACAGTGGGCACAGAAAGCAGTGGAGGTGTCTGTGACTGAATATCACTGCATTTATCCTGGGCCTTTCACCTTGCAGACTACTTCAGAACTATTCCAGCCTAGCAGCCAAAAAGTTGTGCTAACTAATGCTCTTTTGTTAGCTCTTGTGAAATGAGTTGGTAGGTGGCAGCTTAGGCAGGAGTGTGCCTAATGACATATTTTTACTATAAAAATATTAGCCATTAAAATTGACTTTGTTATTACACTCCTAATTGGGCAGGTTACAGGTTGACTGCCATTGGAATTGCAGTTGTTATTACCTACCACAAGAAGTTCTCTGTGTGTGTGTGTGTGTGTGTGTACACATGTGAGCTTAGTGCTCAGTATACCCCATGGTGTTATCTCTTCAGGGGTGAAAAGCAGGATGTCAGGCTCTGTGGATGAAAAGTCAATTTTAATCTTAAAAGGAAAAGATGATTGCTGCTCTTCATGCTGATTCAGGACTATAATAAAGACATTTCCTTTTGCTGACTGAAAGGAGACAGAGTATGACTTGAATTCTTAAAAAGGACCTGACTGGAATCCTAAAGAGAGACCTTACTTGAATCACCTAGCAGTGCCTTTGAGCAGCAACAATCCTGGCCATTAGCTATGGAGAGAATGGGAGCCTGGATTGTACTGCTGGCTCCCTTACAGACTTGCTGGGTGATCTCAAGCAAGTCATTCTGGATATGCTCCAAAGCCCTGTGTAGTTTGTGGCAATACTCTCAGTAGGACCTTAGAATCTACAGTACGACATGGAAACAGTGGGACTTTTTATAAAGACTTTGATGAAGCAGAAGCTCCAAGGTACAAGCACAACCCACTTCCTTGGAAACAATAGTTGTTTTGTCTCTGCTTTGACTAAAGCTTTGATCCCTACAAGAATAGGTCTTTGGTAGATTTCTTGTATCTGCTTTCAGAGCTAAGCATCAATTCTGTCTTCCTTTCTTCTCTGTGCCTCTCCCTAGTTTGCCTGCTGTGGAGTGAACGGACCAGAAGATTTTGAAGCTATCCCTCATCTTCCACACTCCTCTTTGGAAAAGATGACACCGGAGGCTTGTTGCCAGCGAGAGCTCCAGAGCCGGGAGGGGATGTTTGTCAACAAGGAAGCTTGCCTCACAGGCATCGAGAGGTTTCAGAACCGACAAGTAAGGGAGGCCGAACACTAGGAAAAGGACTTTTACAGTGGGCAGAGAGATGGCTGCAGTGGTCATGGGTAGCCAGTGAATCTGACACGTCCTGACTGTACCTCATATCCTAATTACACTTCTGCTGGCAGATCTTGAAGTGATGGCATATGTCTGATTTTGAAAATCCCCTTTCATTACATACCCTGCTAAGTTCATGTTGTGCTTAATATGAAGATTTTCATATGAGATTGAGAGGTGAGGTGGAAATTTAGATCAAGTTTTATTAAGTTTCTGAAGGTCAGAACTACCTCTGAGAAGTTAATTAGCAAGCCAGCACAGGTCAGCAAGGATGGGTTGGACCTGACTCTTACTGGCTGCAGTAGTGGCTCCAATTTAGTTCACAAAGACTCCTAATCAACATATGCAATCAAGAGATCAAGAGTTAAACAGCCACAGAAAACCATGGCTGTTTTCCAAGGAAGACAAGTGTTGGAAAACTTTATTTCTCTGCTTCTTTACTCTTTACAGTAAAAAAAAGACATTTCTTATAGCAGTCTTCCAGTATCTACAGGGAGCCTACCAAGAAAGCTAGAGAAGGACTTTTTACAAAGGCATGTAGTAATAGGACAAGGGGGAATGGCCTCAAGCTGAAAGAGAGTTTTAGATTAGATAGAAAGGAAGAAATTGTTAACTGTGAGGGTGGTGAGACACTGAAAAAGGTTGTCCAGAGAAGTTGTGGATACCCCATCCCTGGAAATGTTCAAGGCCAGGTTGGATAGGGCTTTGGTCTAGTGGAAGGTGTCCCTGACTATAACAAATGGGTTGGATCTTTAGGGTGATCTTTAAGGTTCTTTCCAACCCCAACCATTCTATGGTTCTATTCGATGATTCTTTTGCCAGGCCTCTCAACTTAGCAATTTTTCACAATACTAGACTGGAACAAGACAGTTCATTCCATTGACACTGATTCTACAGTCATGTTTCCTTACAATGTCACCAAGAAAAGATGCTTAAGAAACTTTCAAGCAAAGTTCCTGACTGTGTTCACCTCAGCATTAATAAGCCAACTGAGCTCTGTACTGACCCTATGTACAAGCCTCCTTCTCTCTCCAGACTAAGCAGTGGTCCTCTTTTCAGCACTTGATAGCAGATTGTGAAAGAGAGTAAAGGAGTTTGGAAGCAGTGCATGAACTCTTCCTTGACTGGCAGCTGGAAATGGTTGGCAAAGGCACCCTGGGTGAGAGATCATAGCAGACAGCACTGTGCTGCTTCTGCCAGGTCTGATTGCTGTGAGTAGATGGGGAGGAGAGAGATGACAGATAGTGGGGCAGGAAAGAGAAATATATTTTGAGAAAGAGGGTTAAAGTTTTCCCCGAGTGGTGATGCTGAGGCTAACCACTCCCATGGAAAGGCAAGGTTTCCTGTGAGCCCATGCCACCACAGAGGGTTGGTGGGAGATGCCATGTGCACAGTGAGTGCCATCAAGCACACAGTAGTGCACTTGTGTAAAATAAGAGAGGCAATCCCAAGCAACTGATGGCTGAATTGAGAGATTCCTGGAGCAAAGTCAAGCTCTTAGGACACCATGCTGGTAGGACAGTGCCCTCTGCCCTTGTGCTCACCCCTGTCTATAGCCAGCTGAGCAGGGCATGCTGGAGGTTGGGTTAAAGTTGGAGTTCTGGCAAGCACACAAACATTTTGTTGCTGGGCTGGATGTTTTTCTTTGAAAATTTGACTGAAACATGGCTGGAATAGAGCTGGTGCTGAGTGGTCTCACGTGGTCAAGAGCATGGCTTTAACAGGTCAGTTAAAGCTGGTGGTCTGGGACCTGTGGATCAGCCTCATGAGTGGATGCTCTCCATGCTCTCCTTTGCTCTCTGCTGGTTGAGCCTCACTCGCAGTGAGCAGGATCTTGCATGAACACCAGTACGTAACTTTGTGCTGTCTTTGCAGTTCAGACAGTTTCATTACAGGTGGAAGGAAAAAATCAGGTGACTGAAACTTCCCAGCAGTACAGATGGGATTAAAATGTATATGTGAAGTACTTTTCACACTCCAGTCTACTTTTTGCTTTTTGTGTGTCCTGTTTGCAGAAATTTCCCAGTGGGTTGGAATTTTAGGCTGGGAGAACTGAGGCCAGGATAAGCTGATGATTTCCAGAAACATCCTGAAACCTTTGCAGGAAGATCTACCAGCTGTTAATTGTGTGAATAATAATAAATTACATTAAAGATGATGGTGGCTATGCTTCGTAAGTGGAAGAATTGCCATAGTGGATGGCTGTGAGTTGTTAATGAAATTCTTCTATAGCCAGAAGATCAGTAGGTGTTCAGCTATGGTCTTTTGGGGAAAGGCACAGAGAAAAGGTCCTGGGCTGCTAAAGAGCTGCTAGCTGTGAGAGACGATTCAAGAATCTCCTGCCTCGGCTTTAAATAAGTTGTCCTTTTCTGTAGCCAGCCTGGGTTGTCTGTCACCTGCCCTGAGCGTCCTTCCCTCTGTGGTTAATCTCTGTCCTTTGCAGATGGAGTTCCTCTCTGTGCTGCCCTGCAAGAACTCACAGTTTCTCTTGGTCAGTGAGGGATTGTGGGTGTAAATCACCCCCATCACACTACAGCAAAACCTGCCCCTCCCCAGCACTGTCCTGTGGGTCTCTGCCTCCTGTGCTGTGGGGCTGGGTGAGGTGGTGAGAGGGAGCCATGCTTGTGGTGCCTGGGTGCCTGGGTCTGAGAGCATCTCATGTTCTAATGAGGGCTATGTTGTAAGAACAATGCAATGTACTGCTTAGGTGTGTCTCACCACATTTTGTCTTTCCTAGGGCTGCTACACTGTGATCCTGAACTCCTTTGAGACCTACGTGTACCTTGCAGGAGCCCTTGCCATCGGAGTGTTGGCTATTGAGGTACTTACTGTTGTTTGACAATAAGGAAAGCAGTGTCAGTAGATGTCCAGCAGTGAGGCAGACGGGCAGGTGCTCCCCATTGCCAGGGGAAGGTGCTCTGGCAAAGTTCGAGAAGGTCATCAACTCGTGGGTTTAATTGCCTGGAAAGAGATGGGTGCTTGATCCTTTGACACAAAAAGGCAAGGAAATAACCGGTGCCACATGCCTGGAGTGCCACCTTGTGCTAGGCCAGCCACAGAGCTCATCCCTGCCATGCTGGCCACAGGGGCTTTGGGAACCCAATGCTTGCCCCGGGCCCCGCACTGTCACTGCCCTCATTGCAGCAGCACCCCAAAGCTGACTGATCTGTCACTTGGTTAACATGTTCAAATTCTGCCTTTGCTTTAAAAGCTTCTGTTTAGAGCCTGAAACTGTATTGGCTACAGAGCACCTCCACTGTCCTGCATTACCATCTGGCTCTTTGGTGATGTTTTTGAGCAACAGGCTTCCACCAGACATGGTGTTAGTCCAGAAGTGATGTCCCTGTGGCATTGCAGGGGCAAGGCTGGGTGCTTTTGCAGTCCCTTGTCTTGTGCAAAGGAGAGGGACCTGGGCAGAGAGCCTGAGCAGCCTCCCGCAAAGTCTGTGCTGTGCCCATCCCAGGCAGTGGCAATGATGTACAGAGCAGGGATTGTGGAACCTGCTCTGCTGTGACACCAAGGGCAGTTTGGGAATGAAACAAGGCTGCTGCTGCAGCCACTAACAGTTTGAACAGGGCGGGGGGAAGGGGTGGGGAGATGTGGGGAGCAGCGGAAAGAAGGGAGGGATCGCCTTTAGGAAAAAAAGTTTTGCCACAGCCTCCCCTGGGTGGTAAGAAGGGTCCCCCTCACTGCATCACTGACTGCTGGTCAGGAGGGAGCAATGGGGGTGGTCCCAGGGCCGGGGGGGATTTGCTGATTTTATGGAAGTTGCAGCTGACTCTTATGGTACTCTGTTTTGGTTTTGCCCTCTTCTTCCCCCACCTCTTCCCAGCTGTTCGCTATGATCTTCGCTATGTGTCTCTTCCGAGGGATCCAGTAAGAAATGGCCCGTGGACCTCCATGTTCCCCACATGTTCAGAAGAAAGAAGGAAAATCGAAACAAAATCTGAAAACACCCAAAAAACTTTATTTTTTTTAAAATGGGATAGGGAGGGGAAAAAAAAAAAAGAAAAAAAGAGGGTTGTAATATATGAATGACCAAAAGGATTGTACTTCAGGGGCTGGAACTTTGAGGTGATGTGCACTACACTGTACACCAGACCCTTGCCCAGAGCCACCCGCAGCAGCCGTGGAGCAGGAGCCCAGCACAGCGATTGCACTAGAGACTGATGGAGCCAGTGGAGGGGGTGTGGGAGGATGAGCACAGCTGCCTCTTCCACAAGGCTGAGCCTACCATGCACAATTTCATCGTGCTTTAGACAGCAAAGGACTGAAGAACAGACACACAAGGGACTGGATAAGGCAACAGGTTAGCCTTGATTGTCCAGGTGGGTTTGAAACAAGTGGTGGTGGCTCATCTAAGTAGGTAGTCATTGTTTGCGTGATTCTGGCTTTAATTTCCAGCCACAGAATGAAAACACAGATTCTTCAGTAGAAGCTTTGCCCTTGTCACGTGAAACTTGTCTGAGAAGTCTAGCACTTCAGCGAGGCTGGCTTTTCTCCAGAGCCCCAAGCAGGGGCAGCATGATCTAACTTGGCAATGGGACTCAGCTAAGGCTGGCTAAGGGTCAAGAGTTTGGTGCCTACCTTTCTGTTTTTACTAAGATTTATTGTTAATTGTTGTGAAAGAGACCAAATGGTTCCCTGCTGTGTTCCCATCCCCTGGGAAAAATAATGGTCCAGTCAAGAATCACTGACCTGCTGCCTTCCTGAGAAGGGGAGGATAGAATCTTTAAATCTGGTAAGCCTTTGCCTTTCCCTTGATACTTGCAAAAAAACGGTTTATGGTGCTTTGTTAGCATAACTATTTGCAGTGGTTCCTACATCCTTTCCAGCCATAAGGGGAGGTCCAGTCATGGTGCTGGATGGAAGAGGCTTAGGTTTGTCAACCACTCCATGCTGTTTGCCTGGAACAGTCTGTTGGCATCATTTCTGCTCAGAGAATTTCCCCTGAGATTCTCTCATGGGCTCATGATGAAAGTAATCATCAAGTCAGAATTGTTTTAGTTGAGAGTGTTTCCTCCCTTGAGATAGTTTTTTATTTAACTAACGTGTCATCTACTCAATCATTTGGAAGTGAACTTGAGAAAGATGCTTGGGACTGGACCTTAGTCAGAGATTAAGCTGGAGCTTCTGAGGCCCCAGGCAGGCTCTAAGAGCACCCAGCGTGCAGACAAACTGCTCCAGCTGCTGCTCCAGTGGTCATGGATATCAACTCAGGCAGGTCGCTGGTTTCTCTTCTCTGGAATCATCAACCCCTGTTGCCTTAATTGTTCATCTGGTCACTCTCTGACCCCAAACTCATTTTTCCTGGGGGAGGATAGAAAGGGCTGTGGTTTCTCATTTAGCTTAGGTCTTTTTACAGATTTTATAGGCTCAGATTATGTGAGCATTTTTATATAGGCTCAAATCAGCTCTTCTGAAAGCTGTAACCTCTGGCAAGGAAGGAGCTGAGCAGTAACCTCATGCCCTGGCTTTGCAGCTGCAGGAGGTACATCCTCTGGCTGTTCCCTTACATCCCTGTAAGGGATGTGTCCCTTGAGCTCTCCCACTGGCACTGCACAGACTACAGGCAAGGGAGAAAAGCAGCAGAAAGCCTAGGCCATAATTGACAAAGATCCTAGCTAAATATCCAGGTTGGGGAATCAAGATACTAAGGAACAGGAAAGAGGCGTTAGAAGCTTTTTCTCTTCATTTGAGAACAAAACTTTATTCATCAGCAGGATAGGGCTGGGCAGGTAGAGCTGCAGCCCCCCCCTGCTGCAGTCAGCATATTCAGCAATGAAACAGGCGGCCAGGGCTGCTGAGCAGCCCCAGATGTTGCATTAAACCTTGTGGAAAGCTGTTCTGAACTATTTCCCTCTGGACCTTTTTGTAATGAGGCATTGTAGCATTAAATTCTGGTCTGTTGTTTAATAAAGGAAAACAGTTTGGTTAGCCAAAACCCAGCAGTATTTGTACTGGACAGCAGGTGCTGCACTTAAGATAAGAAATATCTGCTGCATCTACTAGTCTCGTAGGGAATGGGCCGAGCAGAAGGTGAGCTTATCTGTTCTCCTTCTGCCTCAGGAGTTGGTGTCAGTTACTGTTCTGGGAGAGCAAATCCCAGGGAAAGAACAAAACTGTCAGAAGAGACAGTAATTTGGCTGGAGGTTATTGAGAGAAGTAGAACTGCCTCCCCCAGTCTCCAGTTTTTTTCTTTCCCCTTGGTTTATTATGCAGAGTCCTCAGGTCAGAGCCTGGAAGGCAGATACTCTAATTTGTGCACGGTGGGTGGTTGAAAGGAAAGAAAAAAAGCCTTTAAGCCTTTTTCTGCCACCAGTGGCATGGGAGAGAGGAAAAACCGTCAGAGCTGGGGGAACCAGACCAAAGCAGCCAGAGCACTAAGTACTGAATATACACACCTGAAATAGGATCTTTGCTGGCTTGTTTCTCTTTGGCTTTCCTAATTCTGTACTCAGTGCTTTGTTTTGAACTTTCTCACTTTCCCTCTCTCCTGAATGGTAGTCCCTCAATCTTCAAAAGGATCTCCTCTTCACCTGTTATTCGGGGCTGTGCACAGCTATTTCTCCTCTCTTACC